CTGAACCAGTATTCCATTGTTTATTTGAGTGACCAAACTACATTAATTGATCAACACAATGCCAGAACTTACATTAAGCGATTGTTAATGTATAAACGACACTGTTGTAGCCCAAATTTTAATGTAACCTTAAAGGTCAATAAAATATAATAGTATATTAAGAACTGAATGTTTTGACTAAATGTTTGCTTCAAGACATGCCTTAATCAAGCTTTCTAGAAAACATGCATAAAAGATCCAAATAGAAATATTTGAGGTTATGTAGCCACATGTTAACAGAGTACATTTTCGTGCTCACATGAAGAGATTTAACTTGTACTAAGAACAAATCACGGTCTTTTCGATCTACATTCATTAAACAGTCCATGTTTTCATAGATATCATGATGATAGAGTACGAATTACTAATTACTTCATAACACAATTCCGATAACTACCAAGACATTCACCCATTCATAAACAACCTCGTATGTAGTAACTGTAATTGTTTTTTTATGAACAAATAGCCATGGTTAACCATTCTCAGTGGTTCACCATTGACAAATAACTAACAAACGAACTCACTGATGCATAAATTCAAGTTGATTGTTTAGGACAGTTCAAATGTAAACGTAAGAGGGTATTATCAGTATGGATGATGACGTGTTTTGTAAGATGTATCGAATGTGTTACAAAAATGTGTGTAAACATTATTGGTATGCTCACCATTTAATAATAGCTCAAAATCGTTTACTTCACTTGTTTTATGCTATATATATATACATTCATGTATAAGCATGTCAAACATTTACATCACATTTTACCTAAGCATTTCCAGAATATGTTCACTATCGTTATACAAACATTTTGTTAGGGTAGAGATGGTTGGGTTTATATAAGTGCAAAATGAGGCTTTGGAATAAATCTCAACAAAACTTAATTTCAACAAAGAATTATGAATCGTTTGAACACTAGAAACGTAAACCTTTTCAGAGCTTACATTGTCTTTGATGCTTCGATTTACAATGAAACTTCAGGAGACATATTAGAAAGTTATTTAGCCATTTTTCAATTTAAAGCAACTGCTATACTGGCAAGGTATCAAGCCATTTACGGGAAAGCTAATATAATAAGAGACTTATCATATCTTATTCTCTGTATATAAGAGACAGTAATTGAGGGCATGAAAAACGAGGTTCAAGTTATTTTATCACGGGAGTCTTCAAAGTATTATTGATTTGTGACTACATTAACATCTAAAACACATTTAAATTGAAGAGCAACGAAGTGAGGTTTTTTAGTCTATACTGTAAGGTAAGAGTAACGGAATCACAGGATATTATTAGTTTAATTGGTAGAACACAGCTAATCCAAAAGATTTCGCCCCCCGAAAATGAGTCTCGGGGTGTGCTCACATAGTAACTACAGACTTCTAGTAAAATGGAGCAAAAATAATCCTAGTACAGAAGATTCACTTTACTCACGTTTCCATAAATCGCTTGGTTTTAACTGTATTTTTTATTCCGTTGAAAGTAGTTCTATTTTAACCACAGTACTGTTTTAATAACAATGCATGGATGCCATTGCCTAGCGGTTTTTCACTTTGTCCACATATACTGTTTCTGGTATTCCCGTAGCCGAGTATACTAAGTTTTGTTAAGCCGACCATCTGCCTATTTGGCGAGTTCTCTTAATTAAGTAAAAATATATGTTATATTAACTCAGTTAACAAATACTAACATCATTTCATTGATCATAAAAATGGATTATGCTTCAACATGATTGACTAGGTCGCGTGAATACACGATTACTTCCGCAACATCAATGAAATACTAAAAGCTTCATATACTGCATGGGTACCTTAACCATAGGCCACAAATATTGATAGTTCCATCATCAAGAGTTTTATCTTTGTTTATATTGGACCTAAAGGCTTTACTGACTTAAATGAAGTACAAGTCTGGCTTTAAAACTGGCAAAACAGAGGTGTTTAGTGAATTGCTAATTATTTTTATAATATTACTAATCACGCATTTAAAAATTAGCCAGGAAACTATGACTGATATACTACGAACTATTGTGTAATAAAATAAGATTAATCGACTGCTGGTTCTTCATTTTAGTTGTAAGGCTTTGCTAGACATGGAAAATTAGGATCTCAAGTCGCATACTTGACACATTACGAACACATTTTCTCATTATTTTCAGAGATAAGATGTGAATAAAAGTACTCCATGAATCTTGTATTTTATAGAAAGACTTTTCTTTCCTCAAATTTCTGGATATGGAGTACCTTGACCATTTAGCCATATTTATCAAACAATACTTTTGGGTGTAAAACTTAATAAAATGAGCGTTTTCTCATCGAAATATAACAAAACAATACACATTAGCCCAACATTTGCTATTTTTGATGAGAACATAGTATACTTTATTAAACTGACTGATATTTTAGAATAGACGCAAAGTAATAATGGAGTTACAAAACTTCTGCAAATGAGACGGAGTGTCCAATTAGTTGAAGACTGAGTAGCATTAGCTTCACTTATCTCGGCTTGTACCAAAAACATATATGTTCAGGTAGTAGTTAATTCATATGTTCTATTTTCGACGGATTTTGCAGCAGAGCACAAGTTTTATATGCTATTTAAAAGTTTCTCACTTGAATACTTCTTACTCCAAAATATATTGTGTTACATTCATAAAATAATATTCCAAGCTCACTAGGAAACTATATGCATTGATCTCATTTGATATTTCAAGGAGTAGGTTACGTTCTAGATAACTGTTGCAAGTATGTTTTTGAAGGTCAGTTTTCAGTTCTATGCAGATACATGTAATGTTTTTAGTTCATGGTATACTGGGGTATTAGTTTTATTAAGACAATCAAGCCACCTGACCGATCGTGAGCAAAATAGGACCTGACATAGAAATATATCGACCCAAGTTGTAAATTAATGTCACGAAGTAACCAAGAAGGGTGTCAAAGCAATAAAAGTAATGTAAATCTTAGTGATAAGAAAGACTATGCATAGGAAATATGAACCAAGAAAGAGGAACTGAAAAGTTTAAATTAATTTTGAAGTTTAAAACCTAATAGTAAGCAAGGACGAGTTGCATCTGCTTGATTACGACCAATTCCTGCCCATATCACAAAATACCTTCAATCTTAGCTACAGTGTTTACCCAAGCCCCAAACAGGTTGTCCAAGTCAGTAAAAGGTCTTTAACTAAACAGTCACTGACATTATGAACTGCTGAACTTTCTTCGTTCGGCATTTGTTAACTTTCTTCAAACCTAATTCTGAACCATTCGAAATCTTCAGTTGAGGCAAGAGGTGATTCAGAATACTTAATATATGCCCAAGCCGCCTCAGTCACCGAGGGTTTCCAGCTTTGTCAATTCGTCTGTCCAACTTTTAGCACACCAGGAAGTTTTAAATCCCCTCCAAACATCTTGAATACAATTAACGATCTGCCATAAATAGTTAAAACCAGCCTTTATATATATATTTGGAGGAGATTATCACGTCTCCCAAGATAACAGTTAAGCCTTGGTCCTGTATGTAAACTATTCAGAACTAAATTTTGCACTCTGCGCCATTCGTCTTTCATCTCCGAAAACCCAATCAAGCTCCGTTTAGAATGATAGACTTTGAATATATTACATATTAACAGTATGAAAACATTTGTCCTGAATTCACAAAACAATAGAAAGATCACTAAAATCGTATACACATAACCGTCAAATATGGAAAGTAATTTTGGACCGCAAATCGATTATTAAGGATTTGTAGCTAGATTTTAAGTTTCCCAAATCAAAACAACTTTTCTTGATATAGACCTTACTGAGATTTAAACTTTTTTTCAATAAATAAAATAGTTTATAAAATACATATAAATATCTTTGTTAATGATTTTTTCGATGAAAATTAATACCTTCTCGTGTATGATTTAGCCGCGATTTTTATTCTAGACACAGTATCCTCTACAAATAAGTCCCCTAGTAATGAAAAATTGCATGTCCCGTCAGACCAAACTAATGGAAAATGTTGTGGTTAAGAACACGTTTACATATGATTCCTGCAAAATCTTTTTTCAGTACACTTTGAAAACAGAGTAATAATCTAATCTGAATATAATCTTAAAATATACAGACATTAACCGATCGGCGCTCACAATAAAACATAAATGCCTAGATCCCAGGAAACCATGAATTCCCTTAAGCCATCTATGCTCTTCTTTGTATGTTATACAAAAATCTAGACAACTAGAACGTCACCCTTTGTTCAACTTGGAAAACATATTTCTGCCATGTGAGTCTTTGACCCAAAGCAAAAGGATATTTTTCTACCCCCTGTAAGTTAGTCGATTATAGAGCTACTTCGAATACTGCCCTTATTCATGGGTCAGTCTACTGCCACAAAAAGCGTTTTTTTTAATTCTCTATGATAACCTGCCGTTCAGCATCATGAAATCTCACGCTTCGCTAACGCAATGATAAAAAATTGCTATTGATGAGTTATACATATCTTTGGTTGTTGTCCTATTTGTAGGACACTGAAGATGAGCTAAGGCAAATGTATCACATCTCGTTTATTCTCGTATACAGGAATGAATATGTGTTGAGAGCTGTGTAAATGCAGGTCAAAATTTCAATTATAAGACAAACTGCTCACTCAAAAGTGTTTAAGTCAAATACAAATGGGGCTTCTGGTTTAAAATACGAGCTTTTCCACTTAACGGCAAAATATAACCGTTACCACATACTCAGTATTTGACAACAGAAACATTTTCCGCTTAGTTATTTTGCCAACAAAATGTCCCTGATTTTGGCCAAATGTTGTGGAAAGGCTGTCATTATTATCTTTTGTAATATCTTTGTTTGAGGTATCAGAATTCTCAAGTCACTAGAACCAACATAGTATATCTAAATGTTTTTCAGCTAAATTGCAGATAATAACAAATAAATAATCATATAAACTCAAAGAAATTTAAAAGTTACAGAATACGCTTTTCTCACCTTTATATATCCAACTGGGTCCAAAAGTATATTTTCTGGTTTCAGATCTCGATATATTAGGTCAAGATAGTGCAAGTATTCGAGAGCTAATATGACCTGGCTTGCGTAAAAACGCGCTGCAGACTCACTGCAGTCAAAAAAATGTTAAGAACAAAATCTACCTAAATCGGCCCTTTCTTCGCAGGTAAGAAAACATTTCACCTCCAGAGACGTATTCCAGTCCTAAAAACAAGTAAACTTCATTCTACTTACTAGTTTTATAAAGTAAAATACAAACCTTGAAGCTATATTCCAGCCGAATCAGGAAAGGAAAATCGATGGCTTGTAAAATCCTCTTCTCATTAAGTGTGTGTTGAACTTGTTTAAGTTTTATTATCTATTTCGATGGAAAAATTTAGAGAAGCCACTGATACTTTTGCTTTGTCAAGGATTTTTAACGCGAAAAAGTTGGATGTCTTTTTATGCTGTACAAGCATAACACGACCAAAAGATCCCGTGCCCAAGGTTCGCAGTTGTTTGAATTCATCTAAAGACGCTGGTTTCTTCAACAATTACATCATATATTGTCTCTTTACTTTAACAGGATGTTCATAGTTTTCTAAGTAGTTGCGCTTTGCTGTCTCCAGATACTCGGCGACTAAGAGTCAGATTAACATCTCAAAATCAACATACTTTCTTCGGAAATGCATTTTCTTGCGGCATGAGAATTTCCCATGTGTCAAAACGAACTACCAGCGAGAACAAAAATGTATAACATACCACGCGGTTTATTTTTGTATGTAATTGACCTTCGTTCTACCACCTCAGTTAAACTAAGAATTTTCTAATCGTTCGATGACATGTAACCAAGTTTTTTTTTATCTGCTATAGCTGAACTGACCAGAATATTGCTTATCATTTGACAGATTCCTATTAGGATTTCCGCCTTTGTTTTGTGAATAGCTTCGGTGAAATTACACTAGACCTCAGGCTGAATATATTTATACCATATCAAACTTAAGACTGAAAGTTGAATAACTTGACTAACTTTATAAACACCATAGGTTATGAACATCAAGTGCTCTGTTACAGCATGATTACAAAAACTGATATGGTGAATCTGTAGTTTATATACACAGAAACAGTAAATTCTACTTATTACGTCACATCACTAATATGCTTATTTATGTTCTCCGAAAGTACCAAGAGAGTAGAAAAACGTGGTCATCACTTTGGAGAGAGACAAGACAGGAGTTCATTCTTTAACTGAATCTCTTCTCGGTTAAGCATTTATAATATTTTCATTCAACTAGAGTGGATGGGAACTGTTTATTGAAGAAGACATGTCAGCGAAGATGGACAGATATCCACATAATATATATTTTTTGAGTACAATCTCATATTCTTAATTGTCATCAATTTAGTAGAAGTTTGTCTGAGAAAGCAGAGGTTCGAAATAGCATGAGATTATAAGAGAAAACCCTGTAAGGCATACTGTTTCCTCACTAAAAACTCTGAGGTTATTGTTTTGGCCACTTTAGGAGCTAGTAATTCTCAAAATCAACGACCGTTCGCAGTTAAATAAGCAAGCCTGAATTAAAAACACAATGCTCTAGTTACACCTCGCGATTTAAACCCACCAAATGATTATATAACATTAAGAACAATCATGACGTCATCATGAATTCCTTTTGTTCTAAAAAGCAGAGTATTGTGATTTGTTAACCACATGACTTAAGTCGAAATTACATAATTATTTGATGACTTCTGTGCAGACAGACCTAACTTTTTGAAGGGAATCAGATACTCTGGGATTTTTTTGCTATTATTGTGGCCCGACATCATTATGTAGAAGTGTCCACAACACATCTGACAGTACTTCTTCGTCACATCAACACATACGATAAGAGGAAGTAAAAAAACTAAAATACCTATATCTTTATGTTGATATGCCTCAGGTATTAGGAGTAACACCAGTAAAACCTTTTATTATGAATCGTACACACCAAGTGAAACCAAAAGACAGAAGAGAGGTTTGAAGATATATTAGATATGCTATCAATGTATCGAGGATCGACTGATCTAATCTGGCTAGCGATTGCAGGAAATTTTGAGCACGGCGTTCTCGCTCGTGGTCTGGTACAGATGCATAACCGAGCGCCTTCAGCTGGGTGAGTCAATTGTCGAAGACTGACAGAGCTACTTGTTTTAGGGATTTATTTATCGTTACACCTCCTTTACGCATGTAGATTCTGTCGGCTCTTACTGACGCGAAACCTTCAAAATCAAATTCCATACTGTATATAGACTGAATCACCTAAGTTTCTGTTACTGCGAATACATCCGGTTGGGCAGAGTTTAGCTACTTATTGTACAAGCTTCGGGCATCTGTATAACAGATCGGAAACCCATTTAAATGGTTTCGTGCTGCACCCAGAGTGGTTCCAGCATCATTCCTATTAACAAAAAGGATTTTGTTTGTTTTTGAAATAAATTTTTATCATACGTTTTTTATAATATGTAATACAAAGGAAAGCCGAGATGAAGCAAACTGTTAACTGGTGTCTTACGTGCGATAGTCGTTTAAAAGTCCTGGAAATCTAAACTTCTTCCAGGATGCGTTGTTTTATGTTTATTTTCTGATACTGCGTGTTGGCTGTCGGATGAAGAATTATAAGTGTTAGAGCCGTGTTGTTCGACTGTACGATAGAAAATAGATGTGGATAAGACTTTTTTATAAATACGCAGCTTTAAGGCGATCGATGCTGATACTATCGTTAGTTCCGTTCTTATCGTTGAAGAACTTTGAAGGGTCTTTCGTTGTTCTTCGTTGTTCGCTGTCCTTTTTGTTCTATCGTAACCATGTTGGAGAACATGGTGCTCAAATTATGGAAGGCAGTTTTCTGCTTTTCATTTTGACAAATCAAATTCACCAAGAGTTAAATATTGACCATCCATTTTTTAGCTTAACCATAAAGCTTTATTTTATCACGCAGAGTAAGGGACTTCTGATTAGGAAGACTCTGGTGTTTGAATTAATTAATGATACCTTTGTACTCGTTGAATGCTTGATTTCGAATTCCAAATGCAGTAGGCAACGCTCCATGGATATCGCGACACTTTTCCTGCTACTTTCTTATTTCTGCTTTGTGCACAGCCAAAATTCGAAATGATATATAAATGAATTTGAAAGTTATTTTCCGTTTTTACAACTAAGTGAAAAGTTGTTTTTCCCTTTCGCGGTACATGGTATCACGGAGTCCTTGAAAATTCATTATTCAGGTGATGCTTTAATAGATTTTCCGTATTTCCCTCGCAGACTAGCAAATATTTCCATTTAACTTTACACTGAGGGTAGGCAAATATTTTATTTTAATATGAAATAACATGATCTAAGCATATATCGTCATAAAAATTGTTTGTCGTCAAAACTACCAAAACTGCGCACCAAGTAACGATACCATGATAAGATTTATCGTTTTTCCCTTCTTTATTGCAAATGGCTTATTTTCACTGTTTTGTCCAACGTTTATGGCAGAAATAGGTAAATGGTGAAAATATTAGCTGTCCTGAGTGTTGTGAATGTTATGTATTTTATATATATATATATATATATATATATATATATATATAATCATCTACAGATGATTATAACACATATCAAGATGTTAGTATTGCCTTCTACAGTTAGATATATAAGCCACCAAATCATTATATTGCAGGAAACAAATCATAATCATTCGGAAGAGGTATAATTATGTGAAGATTATACCAGAGACTAATCTACCTCTCGTACAGAGTTCCAATGTTAAGCCTGCCGGTATTCTTGCAAAGATAGCTAATAGCAGAAATAAGTAATATTATAATGCAGTCACGAGGAAGCACTGAAATGCACGATTTTCTAATTAAGATAGTCTCAGGTGATCAGATTGTCCGAGATCATATATGGTGATCTTCGAAAACCAACCAAGGCATGTTTACTTACGTGCTGATGACGGACTTAAATAAAATAGGCATCAGTAATTCCAGATTACACAGGACGATCCAAATTAAGTTCACATAGTAGTCTTTACATATGTTCCTTTTCTACGTTTTTGAAGTGCAACTTTCCAGAGAACCAAATAACACAAACCATGAATGTTGCTAGCCAGACTTTCCCAAGCAACGCAAAAGATAAAGTAAATAAGCGTGCGTGGCGATCCAAAGAAAGTGTGCTAAATGTACTTTCAATCTGCAATTGAATAACGCTTTCTGTTTTTATGTTAGTTTCTGGTCAACATTTACACTGAAATAATTATTTCCTGTCTATCTTAATTCCAGCTGGCTTCTCAAGTGTTCACAGACCTAACTGGAACTTTTTAATTTAAAAAACATTGTTATACCATTGGCACGCATTATGAATTCATAGATTGGATGATGGCTACGATATGGGGCATTTGTTTGTCTAGTATAAGCTGTTAGGCTGTTTTGATACTGCATTTGTAATGGACTGTTTTTGTAGAACACTGAATGAAAGTTAAACACCAACCTTATGTACTTAACCAAAACGCAAGAATAATTCTTAAGAATTGGAAGTTATTTATTAATGGACCATTCGTGCTGGTTTTAAACTTTATTAAAAGTTTTCATTTGTAACGCACCAGTGTTTTAATTACGGCAATGCTTATCTAGCGTGACAGACCGAATTCGACGTAGTAGTATAGTACACCATGTTCAGGTTTGCAGTATTTGGTCAACGGTCTGTATGACTAATCGCGTGTGCGCCAACCTAATAATTGTTAGAACCAATATCCCTATGTCACACAACCACAAAAGACTTCACAGTACACTCTCCCTGCCGTTACGCTATAAGAACAAGTTAATGGTCATATAAATGAATTTATGTAAAACTAAAAAGCTTACAATTTTAGAACTTGTTATCAAGAAACATAGCTATGGTCAGTGAGCACCATGGATTCTGACGAAGTTGCTCTACCATTAGCACCGATTGAACTCATCACTTGTGCGCATATGTCTTCCGATGCTTCGAGGAATGAACGGATGAGTACTTGTCAAAGATTCACTAAGAGCATGGATTGAGTGGTGGTTGTTAGTGAACTCCTCTAGCAGATCATCACTCCCTGTAGAGATTGACACGTTGTCCATCGCACGAAGAACCAAGTCCATTAGGTATTTCCTTGTCCACCGGCTGCTATGTCGAATTAAGTCTACAATGCTTATAGAGACAGAGAATCATATACTTACCTTCACGAATTAGATCTTTAGAACGTGCATACAAAATATGACAACAAGGCAGCATGTAGTCAGGATTTCGGAACCACAGAAAATAATTTGTACAGGTAACACTTACCTTTCTGAATGATGTTCTTAAGACATGGAATGAACAAAGTATTATGTCGGAATGACTGTGTGTAGACTACCGCTGAAATTTCGGTCGCTGCCGAATCCATTACGAAAGTGCGCGTATCATAAGTACCTCATATCATGTCTTTAAAGCATTCCAGTAGTCTTACGAGATCTTTGCGTCGTTCTTGCCTGCGAAGAGCATACATAACAGTGCCTTTGCCCAAGACCATCAGTAGCCACTAGCTGGAACACTGGAAAACTTTAGATAAATTTATTATTAACCGTTACTTACCCACCTTTGTTGATCTGATAAGTCGAGTCAGTACATACTACCTGGCTACAACTGTGAATGCGTTATGGCGATATCGCCCATGGTTAGCTGTTTATGGAACTTCCAAGAAACCAGATGCCGTAAGCTACGAGTTGGCGTATGACTCAAAAGAAACGTTCTTAAATATAAGCCTTCACTTAACGCCAACAGTTGTCTTGAAGGATCTACAGAAATATATCCTTCTGTGCCAGGATGGTTGTGCATGGTCTTGATAGAAATGACTTTTAGCTCACAAGTTACTTCGTGGAACAAAATCCGGATTAACAATGGCACTATTTCGACCTGTAGGAAAAATTC